TTAAATTTATTTAATTTACTTGAACATAGTGTTAAGTTATGATAACTCCATACATTTATTAAAATTTGTCACTATTCAAGTCTTGTAATACTATTAATTTTCTTCTAATTATACATATTGAAAGCAATAAATTCACTGTTAATATACACAGTACATGAAATTCTGAATTGTGAAAGTATATTTATATATATTTTAATCTTCTGCAGTAGATTGTGCTGCATCCAAAATAATTTCAAAGGAAAATGGCTGAAAACCGTATCCTTGCCCAGCATAAAATTTGCTTTGGAACTCGACCCTGTAAAGAATACAGAACATTTACTTTCTGAAATAAATATTTTATTTTTAAAAATAATTTATCCACTATTTCTTGTTATCCATGAAAATAAGAGATTTTTTACATACAGCGTATTTATGAGGTGCAATGAAACAATTTTAAACATTTTTTGTTTTATATAATAAATGTAAAGGATAACTAAGAATACTTGTATTATATATAAAAATAATTCATACCAATGAAGTCGAAGTGTATGCAAGAAAGCTGATAATCCTTCCATAAGAACCAGAATACCAACAGTTAAAACGGACCAAAATGCAAATACGGCCCACAAAATAATACCACCGTACCAATCTTCCTGGGTTAATCCATTTCGCATTACCATATTCCATAATACCTCTGATAATTCTAATTATAATAAATAATACGTGCTGTGTTAATAATGTATTCGTTATATATCGTATAACAATAAATACACCAATTTTTGAACTTACGGGCATGGGCAAGAGACAAGGCCCATAAACGTAGATACGACGCAGTGTGAGATACACTACCAAGCACGTATTCAATGGTATGTATACCCTGATGAATAAATACTTCACTCATTTCCTCTTCCTCTTCTCTATGATTTCCATTTGTTGGTTGTATTGCATCAACACCACCTTCTACATCTCCATTTTCTGCTCCATGATTATTTAACTAATAACATAAAAAAGAAGACATGTTTATTCTTTTCGTTCATATAAACCTTTGGAAATAAAACGACTACGTTTGTTCATTCTACAAGTGGATAAAAAGACACAAGTTTATGTTTACATTATGTATACTTTTCAAATATGTAAAATACGTCTATGAAAAAGTTTCTTGATATTATTTGTAAAAATTTTTAACTTTTGGTTTCCAATAATTTATTAATTTCTTGATGTAAAACATAACTTAATGCTACTCTGTACCCTACAACTTTCGTATGAAATATTTTTTGTATTATTCGTAGTATTCGAGATACTTCTGTATTGTGAGGTAAACTGGACATACTGTATATTGCTTTAAAAAAGTATTAACGTAACATATTTGTGTCGAATTTGAAATTTCACCTGATGATGTTGTTTCTTTCTATTGTACATCATCATAACAGGTTTTCCTAATAACATCCATGGAATGCAGAGAAGAGCTATGACAACAAGAAGGTTTTGGAATCCATGTTGTCCAGCATACATCCAAGGTTTACAAATGCCTTGTGGAACTTCAGAATTGAATAATACCATATTAATAAATGTAATCAGTACTGATGGTGCACAGGAAGGTCCATGCTGTGGATCTGTGCCTACAAATAACAAGTACGATAAATGATATTACAACATATTTTATTATGGCATAAAGGATAATTCAGATAATCCAATACATATTAATATCTTTTAAACCAAATGAGATATTGAAAACTTTTACAATGGAAGTTTACAGTCACAACGTGTTATCTTTAGTTATATAATTTCTAGTATTTAAAAACTTGTTAAATAAACTGTGTGTGTGTGCGCGTTTGTAATATTTAAAATCTGAAGATTATCTTAGTTACTTAAACTAAATTATTACGTGTTTCTAGAATATACTGATTATAGAATAACCTTAAAATTAAAGTCAGGAGATGAAATCACTTTGAAAAATTGGGTATTGAAGCAAAATTTTGTTCTATTTATGTTTGTGCTCGTGTAATTTAAATTATGTATACCTTGTAACCATATAATTTCCCACCAAAAATGTTTTCAATATCTTGATTGAGCTAAAAGATATCACTTTGTGTATTATATTAAAATGTATGTTTATATTAAAATGCATTACTTACCATCGCTATTGGGACCATATTTTATCCATTTAATGAACATAAGCAATACCATATACATGAAAAGGAACAATAAAAATATAATTTGCGGGATAAATTCACAAATTATGTTAATTTGTCTTCTGAAATACATATGATTCCATAATCCAACCATCACACCAAATAACATATGTATAACTCCAAAAATTATAGATATCTTCATTTTATATGAATTTAAAAAGATGATTTTATTCTCTGCCAATTGCCATACAGGATCCATTCCAATGGGATATGGAACCTGTAAATACTCATTTACGTCGCTAGGATTTAGCTGCAACTCCTTTTGTCCTTCGATGGTACTATAATTATAATTGACTCTCCAATATGATCCAAAAATATTCAGTGATTTAGAAAATATGTCATTGTATATAAATCCAGTATACACTGAGAATAAACCCATTAAAAATATTATATATCGTCCACCGAAGAATATATTCCAAATTTCATTATCAGATTTCTTTGCAGCCAGTGGTTTTTCTTTTAACACCATCCACCCACCGAAGAGGAACATGAGTAAACCATGACCAGTGTCTCCAAACATAACAGCAAATAAAAATGGAAATGTTATTATAGTGTAAGGAGCTGGATTCATTTCTCTGTATGAAGCTACTCCATATGCATCTATTAAAGCCTGAAAGCCTTTAGTAAACTTATTTGTTCGATTGTAGGTAGGTGGATCTTCAAAAGTTTCCATACGATTCAAGATTGGCGGTACCGAACTGCCGCTACGTTCCTAAAATATTCATGATAATATGTTACTACGGAACTCTTAATAATAATAATTAAGTAACGTCGCTAAAAAATGTAGGAATAATTACAGTTCCGCGACGTAATGCTAACTGAATTATTTCAATGTCTAGAACAGGAACCCAGCATTCAGCAATTAAACACTTCTGTGTAACATCCAAATTGAACAAATTCAGGGTGTGATAAATTGCTTTTATTTTACGGACTTTCACAAACCAATTTTTGATATTTTTTGCAGCAGCTACTAAAACACGATGTCGATGATCCTGAGTTTGTCCGAGAACCTGAATCAGATCGAAATAAAATTAGTTACAAATCATAATATAACCAGATCAATACGGAAATAATTAAAAGAACGTGTACATTGTTATACCCTGTACAGTGATAAAAGAACTATCCACACACTGACGCTAGTTATGTGTTCAGAAAATTGTGGTGTAAACAGAAATTGTTGCAAATAAATACCAATCTAATCAGTTATCGAAATCAACTACAAAACTGTAAGATTCAGCCAGATTATAAAAAGAAAAAAATAATTCCTTTGATAAATTTTCAAAATTGCATTATAGTTGGAAAGAATAGGAGAAAGCGTTACATTTAAGGAAAAAATAAACGATATTCGGATTTCTGATTCGAAAAAATTGAAGAACGCTGCTTGAAAAGTGAAATTTTCATAATTTTTGTTTTATCGCAACGAGAAGTTTTATAACAGATTAGCGAACTGTTGAGGTTCAAAAAAATTAAAATGTATTTCGAATTAGAGTACTTCCAGACACTTTCAAATTTTAAGAAGGTACAACAATAATACATTTATTTAAAAATTGATACCGACAATTTTCGACAGAAAAATTTTCTTCTTAAAATTCGTTTAAAGATAATTGCAGTTCTGTTTATGTCGTTCTTTAAAAAATATCTATCTCCTTTTCCTAAATTCTTATCGGTAGATTCATGAAAGTTTGCTTTTGAACGAAGAACAATGTTAATGAGATATATATACGAAGAAAGAAATACATATAGCGTTCCATTTAAAAAGATAAACTTGATTTTAAAATCTTCCTTACTACTTCACCCGCGAAAAATCTATTTATGCCACATTATGTCCCCCATTATACCAAACAACGTTTGTCAGAACATTTTTTTGATAGCTTCAGTTCCTTCTGAGATATTCCACCACGTTCAATTTAAAAAATGACACCCTGTATGCAGTAAATAGTGGTTTAACCGAGCAGGAAGCAATTTTACATACACTGGAAGTGTAGGATAATAAAAAATTGATTTTGAGATCTATCTTTGCTCAAAATTTATTGTTTAGCTGTATGTTGATCTGATCAGCTCTTCCCTCAGAGTTATAGTTGAAAATTTATTATTTGTTAAAACCACGAAGTCATCGTATATGGGTAGTACTTTCTGCCACTGTAAGGCAATTATACGAAAGAATTTCGTTGAAAAAACGAAAAGAAGAACTAACTGTGTTTAAATCTTCGATTCGAGTCATAACTCCCATAGCCATCTCACGACGATCAGCAGGTGCTTCAGGACAAGGATATAAAGTAGCTCGAAATCCTTCACAGATCTTTTTCACTCGAGTTTTCAACTGATCTCCTTGGAAGAATATGATAAACACAGATTTGAACACTTGATCCCCCTGGAAAGAAATAATCATACATTTGTAAGAAAACGATGAAATTGTTAACAGCGATAAGTGTTGCAAAGATATTGAAATATTTTACTTACCGTTGATGGATCTTCCAAGGGAGTTTCAATTTCCGCTTGACGTAAAAATACGTTGCCACGACATGCGCGCCAGAGCATGCGTTCAAATGCTGGAATACGTTCTCTTAGGATAACTCCTGCGACGAAACTATTTAAAAAATAATTTTAGTAAGGTTTAGAGGGATTTAGTAAAATTTTTGAGAGATATTATAAATAAATTAAGTAAAGACAAGATGACGCCATTACTTGCACGTATAGAGGCCATTTTATTTATTTCAATCACCTAGTATATTTCTGTTACTTTTAATTGTACGCAAAAATAGGCGGATGAAAATGTTATTTAGTTCAAAAGTTACTGTCATTATTGATACATACTTTTTCACCGTTATTTTTCTTCTTCTTCAAAGTATTAAGGTTAGGTTTCTTAATAATATAGTATATTTTTATGGCTACGATATTATGTGATGAAAAAAAAAAAAAATAAATTTATTCATGTACAGTATGATAATATTTAAAGGATTCTTAATGCAAAAATTTATGCTCCTTTGAGGAAAATGAAGAAGTATAAACTTCAGCCAAGAAGATAACAAATAAAGAAATTGCATACAACTGCCTGTACTATTAAAAGTAACAGAGGCATTGAGAATAGATGATCAAGATAAACGAAACACCCCGTATACATACATATCTTTGCACGTATGAATATTTCAAACCATTTTTAATTCAACATAAATATAATAAAGTATATAAACCTATACTAACAAATTATTTATGTACGTATACTGTACACTACTATACATTCTGCGTATTGTATGAGCTTTCAAAATTAATATCGCATTTACATTTTCAATCTGTATCGTTCACTATTGTAATATTTTTGTTAATAGTACAATTATACCTATCCCTATTTATATTCAACTTTATAATTCATTTATTAATACGACAATAATTTGTCATTAGCAAAGAGTAATGATTTTTGTGGCCATGGATCTATTTAACACCTTAAACATTTCTGAGTCACTATATGCAAATTAAAAATCAAAAGTTCAAAGTACAATAAAATTTAAAGTAAATAAAGTACAGATTGTGTTCAAAATCTTATATTGTGCAATGATGATGATGATGATGATGATGATAATGTGATTATAATGAGTATGATATTAATAATGGGAATAATAGTGATAATGAGTATGATGTTAATAATGAAAATAATAGTAATAATAATTATAAAAGGAACCACAGCAATGACAATTTACAGGATGCTCGGTCACTTCTGGCAGAAAATTTAGGGGGTGATTCTAGAAGTCGATATAGGACGAAAATCAAGAATACAAAAGTTGCGACACAACATTAACGACACATGAAATCACTGGAGCAAAATACTTGGCTAAAATTTCCTTGCAGCTTCAAACGTGGCCCCCGTTTGGCCCAAAACTCAAAACTACAAAAAAAGGGTAATGGAGCAAACGTGACCGACTGCGTGGCGATCGAATGGTTTGTCGATGGTTTTAACAACCGGTATTAAATTTGAGAAGCTCGGTTACGTTGAAATCACTGGCTCTACGATGCAACGTTCAGAAACATATATTTTATTTTTCTAGAAGATTCTCTTCATATCCTTTGAAAATACATACATATGTATCTGTTCAACAGTTACTCATTCCCATATTTATTTTTTGCTAATTGCATTAACGTGAAGTGAAAAGTATGGACAAGCGTAAACAGAATATATTCATCATTGAAATAAAACTAAAAGTGTTGGAATATGTTAAAAATAAAGAACCTGTAAACAGATACAGTAAATTCTCCACAAGTGTCAGTTTGGATTCTACAAGTGTCAGTATAGATGGTCCTACGCCTATGTTATCCTCGCCCGCTGTCAGTCAAGCGTGTAACGCTACACCACTCGGTTTCTTTTACGAGATTTCACGGCTGGACAATTCATAATAGAAAAATATCATTTCTTTAATTTTACTTTTTTTCATCTAAAATTTTTTTTAACATGTTGGTGAGATTTTTCTGATGAAAATGACATCAAACACGATATAATTTTCATCAGAAAAATCTCATCAATATGTAAAGAAAAATTTCGGGATAAAAAAACGTAAAATTAAAAAAGTTGGTATTTAAATTGCTTGGTTGCCTCGACTTCCGTTTCATCTTTATCTTTTATTCGCTGTCCTTGTCTACGTTCGGCAAACTACAAAGACAGACGCAAGGCTCGAAAACGTAGCCCCTGACTCTACAAGTGTCAGGTTTAGCTTCCTTGTGGACTGACACTTGTGGAGAATTTACTGTACTTACATTGCTGTTCATAAATATTAGGACACCCGTTATGTTCGTACAGAAAGTATTATATGATTTAAACTACATTTCTTCGACAAAGTTAACGAAAATATACAGGGTGTTCACCCTTTTAATTTCTAACGTTTTTCTCGTAAATTGCAGATTCGTGGAGAAAATAAAGGACAAAGTTTAATTTTTTTTTTATACGCAATACAATGAATAGTTTTCGCGTAACGAAGATACGCACATACCACGAATTTTTAAATTGATAGCTATAATTTTGTTTTATATTATACGAAAACGGTTGATCTTATATTATAATTACACATTAGATGGCAACAGATATTTGGAAGTTGTATCGTATGTACTCGAATCATTTTTAACAGGATCTTAATAATTTTGTAATGACTTTACGTTTGCTTTACATTCAATAAGTGTCCTAATACTTACGAACGGGAGTGTATGTAACGAACTGCGTGACGAAAATGTACGGTGAATGATTAGTGAAGAAATAGGAAATCTTGTCAACAGTTCACTATATTAATTAGAATAAATCTAACAATAGAAACAGAAAGGTTGCTGTAAAGATAGGTACACAATGAAGAAATTCAAAAATAAAGTCGTTGAAGATGCAATCTGGATACGATTCATGCAAGAAAGTCAAAACGGAACATTTCTTAACGGACGAATTTTGAAGGAAAAACCACACAGGAATGTCCACAATTGTAAAAAAAAATTTAGCGAATGATGTCTTTTATGGTGGAAAACGAAGCACACAATTCAATACCTAGTTTGCGGCAAAAAGTTGCTGGCGAATGAACATTTTGCAAATAAATTTTCTCATAACTTTCTAAACGTTATACATCGGGAAAATTTTACTCTAGAATATTAAATGAAATGCATAAATTTTTAATTTCTTCCAAACAGAATGTTAGCAATATCGTAAAAAACTGTAAAAAAGCCACCGTATAAAATTCAGAAATCGGTTTAGATGGATTATTTTCTATTTGAAGAATGATTTCCAATAGAACTCGTTGCAAAATTCAAATCACATTTAACGGGTTTGAAAGCGCTACTCGAGTTAGCTTCTGTCTTTGACAATGTTTCAACGCACTCCGCTGAATGATGATTTATACTCTCTAACGTTACATTTTTTATGTAACTTACGGGCCAGGGTATAATAGTTAGTCTGAAAAGGCATTACACGAGAAAGTGTCTTTCAGAAATTCTTGACAGGGTTGTCGATGCAAAAAGAGAACTCACTGAATCCTTTAGAGTTAGGTTGGGTTAGATTAGCTTCATTTTTTTTCTCGGAATTATAAAAGCTTTAAGATATCCTCTTTTGCTATCGTAGCAGGCAAATCTAATACCGAGGATATGTCAACAAACCCTTTGAAGCGCGATAAGCGTTTTGGACGAACGGCGAAATTCAAATCATTAGAGGATTTAATAAACGGATGAATAAGCGCCAGCTTGATGAAGCTAGAGTCGGGAAAATGAAATTGTTCGGAATCTTTGATGAATCATGTACTGAACTTGAACGTTTTCTTGCGAATGTGAGCCTAACCGTTCAAGAAGTCGCTGTACGCTTACTGTTTCTACGCGAGGTGCTGAATTTGCAGTCTGGACTGAATATAGTAGGATGGCTACTTCTTGGAACTTCTCAGCGATAATTGAAATATGCACTGTAATTCGACACTACCGAGTTACTCTTTATCTTATTTTCTACAAACGCCATTTATCAAAACAGTCACAAACAGAGACAGTTTTGTATTCAATGTCATCACAATTCTATTTCTCTGAGGAGATGCGGGAAGTTCTAGAGACCGTGGGTCAAGTCTCTGCAATAACGATGACCCTCTTGAACTATATAGGAAAGATATGTAGTGTAAGCTGCACGTGGCATTCTGTGTGCGGCAAAGGTTTCCCGATGAGGACTTCAAGTCTGGGATAATATTTATTTATCCAAATAACATTTGTGTACGCCTGAAAGAGTTGGCGTTAGCTGCGACATCTCGTGCATATCGCGAGATGTTTTACAGGCACAGTCATATTTCTGACGCTAGATTTTTCGTCGGCGAAAACGGGGTCCCTGCTTAAGAACGTCGAAGAGATCTGGTTGGCTGACTATGGTCCTGATGCTCTTAAAGAAGGTCTCCAAGCCTATAAAAATTTACTTAACCGCGTGTCTGGTCATCTACTCCCAAGCTTTTTATGTAAGCTGAATTGGAGTTGGGATGTGTGTCGAGGCGCTCTGGCATCCTGCCATCTATTGCCTACTTGCCCGAAGGTCAATTATATCCAAGGCCTTGAGAGCATAACTCGCAAGTCGAAGCTACTGGTTGCACAGGAACCATTGGGGCCAGAAAATCAGCCTGACAATATGTGGGTGAAATGCAAAAAAATTCAACGTGGGTGTTCCCATTTTGGTCGCTCGAAAGTGAGATTTCGGTGAAAGAGTTCGCCGTTGGCGTAATGGCATTAGGAGCTTACGCTCTGGATTTAGAAATAAACGCGACAAGGAAAAATGCACATGACACCTGGAACGGTGCTTTACAGTATCACCGATGTGGCGAGAGTAAGGACGTAGCACTTTCTTGGGAGCATGGAGGTATAGCTCACCACTTTGGTTTTGCACTAAGGAGTGATTTTCGACCGGTGGGATTTTAAATATAACCGGGATGCCCAATCACTGGTGGTTTCATCAATAACAGCCATGTTGACTCTCAACCGATATGGAGGGCCTGCTGATGCGGCAAACGAGGACATCCTCCTGTCCGGGCTCCAGTCAGCCAGCCACCATTGATGGAGAAGAAAGAACGTACGGTCAGGAGGAGGCCTGCGTCCCCTGTGAAGAAGATC